GCTGCCCCCTGGAGTTTCCCTCCTTTTTTCTTACTCTCCCTCTCCCCCTTAGGAAAAAGATTTAAAGGGCCATGCTCTCTAAACCCCAAAGGGGTTACACAACAATAGTTTAGTTATATGTAAAGTAAATAAGGTTTTTTAAATGTTTAAGAAGCTTCATTTAAAATTAAATTAAAATGCAGAGCCCCCCGGACCAGTGGCCAGGACCCGGGCACTGTGAGTGCCACTGAAAATCAGTTCGCGTGCCACCTTTAGCATGTGTACCATAGGTTGCCTATCCCTGCTTTAACCTATCATCCACATATGTCAATATCAGCTGAGGGAGTTGACATTTCAGGATAGGCATGTTCATTAGACAAATTACATGTCAAATTGATTTAAACACTTGTGCCACTCCATGCACTGAATTACCCTGGGAAAAACTCCTAGTGGAGTATTTCAGTCCCCACAGCATTTAAACTTGAAAAAGGAAAATAAAATTTAACACATAGTTTGGGATTACTGCAGTGCTGAACATTCCTGTTTAAAAACAAAACAATGAAACCAAAAAATGCCCACCTTGTAATCTATTGGATTTACTAACAGTTTATCCTTTCGGTTGTTCTGGGGGCACGTCAAATCAGGCCACCCACTAATTTAGTGGTCACTGGAGAGTTGTTCCATGCTAAAGAAAAGGGAGGATGGATTGCAAAGATATGAGGCCATATCCTGACATGGTGCAAATCAGTATAGATACATCGATTTAAATGGAGGTATGCTGATTTATACCAGATTAGCATAGAACCCATTTTTAAAAAACGAACTAGCACCATAGATGTATGCACTTGTGATATACACCTTACTCTCATTGCCCCTGGATGGTGAAGAGTTTTGAGTGTTATAGACCAGTGTTTCTAAAAGGTCTATAATTTATTAAAGTGCTGAATTTAGCTGGGAGCTCACTCTTCAGAGGAATTTTATTTTAAACAGTCTCAATTCAAAGTGGCAACTGTACATCTGGGAACATACAATGATCACCAACATCTCAACCTTTGACTAGATTAAATTAATAGTGTGCCAGCTGTAGAGACATTTAAAATACCAGATATCCAGCCGTAGTGGGGACAAAGAGAAGGTAAGTGTGGGTCTCTCACAAATATTAACTTTGGAGCACAATACAAGCCAAATCTGGAGAGGAAATGAGGACCTGCAAATCACATTGACTTCACAGTGTTGCCAGATGCTCAGTAGATCTCAAAAGCTATTGTGCACCAACGATCAGATCTTCAACTGGTGTAAATCAGTGTAGCTCCAATGAATACATCCACTGAAGTTGACTTCAGTGGGTAGATTCAGTGAAGTGATTAACTTTTCCAGGGTGGCAGGCATAAATCTTTTATAACTGGGGTTTGATTTTTTTAAGTGTTAGGAAAAAATGAACATACTCAGACGCCCATTGGAGCAGATCTGGAGGCTGGGTTCGAATAGCAGATTTTGTAAACTGTTTCAGCAGTTCTGGCAGTTCTGGAGGGATGCATATTTGCTTATCTGTATATGGCATAATTACTGCACCTATGGGGAAAAATAACAGTTTTTCAACATAGACAGAGTATGTTACAAATGTGCTTAAAAATAAGTAATAAAATCTTGTTAGAAAAGCAGTCAATACTTCTGGAAAGATCTGTTTTAATTTGTGAACTATTTTAGCAGCTTAGTATGCTGGCTATACGTCTGTTGACTCTGTAAATAGTTTCAGAACAAATAAGGCACTATACTACACATGTTATAAAACCAAATAAAAAAGACACAGATTTCTATAGGTGAAAAGATCGCTATTAATTTTTCTTTTCTGACAATTTCTGTCCATTTTACAATATCTTGCTAATTATGATTTATAGTCATATCTAATGTACTGTGTTATGTACAGTAAATATTCTAGATACTACACATTATGTATGACAGGAATTTGTAGATTTGGATCAGACTAAGGATTGAACTACAAGGATTACCATTAAAAAGCTAACATTTACTGCATCATGGCATCTGATAAACATCAGTATTCTCCTGTACTGAAAATAGGAAATAAAGGCCTAATCTAAAACCCAATGAAGTCCATGAAAAGACTCCCCATCTCATCAGTGGTTGTTGGATCAGGCTCCAGCTGTGCTACATTTAACAGAAAAAATGAAAGTGTCAATCCCAAAGGTCGAACTCATGAAGTCAGGGAACAGTGTTTTCTTGACAACTGGCTCGAACTCTGAAACTCCCTGCTTCAGGTGAGAATGAACATGACTCCACTGCCTTCAGAATGAAATGCAAGATGAACTTCTTTAACCTAAGCTTCCCACAACCACAGCATCCACAATGAAAGAGACCATAGAAAGGGGAAGAGGAGAAACACCCCCTGCCCCGAACCTTGCAAAGAAGAGGGAGAAATCTAGATCCACTTGAGGATTGCTGTCTTCCAGTAGTCCATATCTGGGAGAGGGTCAGATTTTGTAGGGTGTGTGCCATATAAGAATTTAGCAAGCTAGCTAGATACCTTGATGTGGTGGTGACTTTCTAATGGAAACCACTAAACAACAAAAGAATCTCAACTCTCAGAATGGTATGAACAATTGGAAATTAGAGCTAGGATTTTCAAAAGAACCAGAGGAAATTAGGTGCTCAACCCCCATTGAATATTTGTGGGATTTGGGGACCTCACTCCATTAGGTTCTTTTGACAATCCCCGCCTAGAAACTTAGAATATAATATCAGAAAAGGAGCTCAGAAGAATTGGAGGAGATCAAGGACCAGGAGACCAGAAGGGAATAGTCAGCATGAGTAACTTAATTAACAATTATTACTAAGGTAGTGTCTAGCACAAGGAAGAGTAGGAGAAGTAGCAAAGGGCTGAGGAACAAAAAGAATGGAGAGAAAGTGACTTGGATAACCTAGGTCACATTGCATGACTAGAAAAAGTTTCAGAGGAGTGGGCAGAGCTGTGCTATTTATTATGAGAGCATATCAGGACCAGCATTGGAGGGATTCTATTTTTTACATGACCTGTTAGAAAGAATGGTGGCTCTGTGCAATATATTCAATTTGCGCCAGATTGCAGTCTTGGATATTTACATTCCAAACCTTGTTTAATTTAAGGAGAGAGCTTATGAAATGTCAGAGGCATGAAAGAAGCAAGAAAAAGGAGGTGGGGAAAGGAGAGGGAGGGGTAGGCAAATTGTGGCTGAGCTCACCACAGTTGTGTCCCACTTTTTTATAAGGAAACCACATTACTTTGTTAAAAAATTCAGAACCTCCTGCCTCTGAGTGTAAGGGGCAGGAGCCCTGACCCTCCACTTGCAAATGCACTTATATTACTGGTTTTCTTTGATAGGCTGCCATGCAGCTAAATATAGTGCCTCCTTGTCACTCAGTGAGAGGCAGTGCTGCACTGTGTCCAGACACAACTAATTTTTCTTGACTACATCCAGAGCTCTGCCTGAAAAAAAAAATCTTCTTCCAAGATTGCCCACAAACCTATAACTATCCACTTAGATGCCAAAGTGAGTCCTCACCTCTCTTTCTCGTCTGCTTTCATCAGTAGTGGAATAGTTAACAATATTGACTTTTCAGTTGTCATCATTATGATTCAGCGTTAACACCTCATTGGTATGAATTCACATGTCTCTGAGGTATTGTTTCAGGCTGATTGCAGACTTGATTTTCCCTCTAAGCACACTGCAAGATTATCTTCATAACCAGAAGGGCTAGAGACACTGGGCCTGATTCACTATTGCTTTACTCCATTACTGCAGGTTTATGCTGGTGTAAAGGTATGTCTACACTTGAAACACTACAAAAAAGCAGCTGCAGTGCTTCAGTATAGATGCTACCTCTGGCATAGGTAATCCACCTCTCCAAGAGGAGGTAACTAAGTGGACTGAAGAATTCTTCCATCGATCTAGCACTGTCAACACAGGGGGATTAGGTCAGTATAACTACTTTTGTCAGGGATGTGGGTTTTTCATGCCCCTGAGAGACATAACTATGCTGATGTAAGGTCCCAGTGTAGACCAGCCCTAGGTAATGCAGAAGTGAACTAGGCCCTTACTTTTTGTATATCTTAGATTCTGACAGTGGGGTAGAGGAGATACAGGCTCTCACTGAACCTTTTATGTCATGGTATATATTATAATTTTTGAAGGTTTAACTCCAATCATCCTTGTTAACAAATGTACCAGGAATGTGGGATGGAAAGCTGTTCTGTGTATCTGGTATATCCCCTCTACTTTGCTAACATTTCTGAAAAAATACAAAACTTGCTTGGAACAGCTCTGCCAACCACTGGAGAAATTCCCTGAAATTTTCAACAAATTTCCAGTGTCCCTTGCCTGTGAAATCTGGGAGCATCACTTAATTGTCATGTCTTACATTTCCCCTGAAGTATACAAATATACTGATCCTGCAGCCCTTGCTTAAGCAAAAAGCCCAGTGGGGACAGTTTCTCAGATGGTGCCAATAGGCATAATTCCATTTATCTTCAGTAGAGCTATGCTGATTTATACTAGCTGAGAAACTGGCTTGGTGTTCTTAATTTAATTAGTGGGAGCTCTGCCCGAGTTAGGACTGCAGGATCAGTCCTTAACAAGGTTCAAGGGTATTCACTCACTTTGGGCCTGACCCAAAACCAACTGAAATCATTGGAAGTCTTTCCATTGATTTCAATAGGCTTTCGATCAGGCTCTTTCAGAATAACAACATAGAACACATACAATGGTATATGGCAGCTCCAGTGAAACTATACAAAGGGACTTTAAATTACTGGAAATAGCAAGACCCAGACACATCACTTTCTAGCACTGCAGCTATAC